AAGTGAATTTTAAAGACCCAAGATGGTGGGTGAACCATAGAGAAATGTTATAAACTTCCAAGTCCCCTCAAAATCAGATAATAAGTGGAAATGTAGGCAGCTGGAAAAAAAAAAAAGGGGGAGGCCATGATGAAGATCACAGCTCACCCAAGGCATCAGAAAAGGAGTTTCCAGTGAGCAAGGAGGGTCTGGAATTAACACGCTTTGGGGCCAGGCATGGTGACTCATGCATTTAATCCCAGAGCTTTGGGAGGCCGAGGCAGGAAGGTCACTTGAGGCCAGGATTTCAAGACTAGCCTGGGCACCATGGTGAGGCTGCATCCCTACAAAAAATACAAAACTTAGCCAGGCATGGTGGTATGAGCCTGTAGTCCCAGCTACTCTGGAGGCTGGGGCGGGAGGATCACTGGAGCCCAGAAATTGGAGGCTGCAGTGAGCTATGATCACACCACTGCACTCCAGCCTGAGCAGATCCTATCTCTTAAAAAATACAAAAAAAGACCCTTTCACAAGATCACCTGGACACCGGAAATGCCTCTGTTTCCCACATGCTGCTCTGGAGGAGAACGAGCAATAGACACCCCTGATAAATCCCTACCAGTGAGCTGCACTCGGGGCCAGCCCACTCTGACCGCTTCCTCCCTTAGCTGTTAGGACTCAACCAATTCGGCACGTTCAGCAAGTAGCTGCTGAGACGCCAGACTGCGCTCAGTGCTGGGTGCATGCCCTGAGGCTGCCAAAGCCATCCTCCCACTCGGGAAAGACTAGCAAAGCAGAGTTCTGCTCTGGGACTCTGGAGGGGAGCCCCTCGCAGCTGGCATTACCCTGACCAGGCCCTCACTTGCCAGGACGGGACCAGGCCCTCACTTGCCAGGACCTTGTGTCCTAACACAAGGAAGGCCTTGCACCCCCTGCCCATGACACTGGTCTGGAATCCTCAAAGCAGCCACAGAAGCTCCTGAGCCCCCTTCATTTGTTCCTAATCTGCCCTCTCCAGACCCCATCTTCACCCAGTTTGGAGCACGTGGCTCTCTCCCTGACTGCGGTCGGCAGCAGGCACTGTGTGGACTTGAGGTGGGCTCCTGGCCTACCTGGTGTCAGCGTTTCCCAGAAGATCGCACTGGGCTTGAGTTCCATTTCTCAATGCATTCTGCTAATTCAACCCTGGCCAAATGGGCTCTCAACACCACGCCCACCCTGGAAGAATGCGGTGCACACATCAGCACTCTGCTTTAAGCTCCGATGTGCTATTCCTGCTGCAGCCTCCACACAGACGCGGAGCAGGTAAGTAGCCCATCTGATGAGGGGACCACAGGAAGTCCATCACTCTCCCAGGTCCACCTGACGAGGGGACCACAGGAAATCCATCACTCTCCCAGGTCCACCTGATGAGGGGACCACAGGAAGTCCATCACTCTCCCAGGTCCACCTGATGAGGGGACCACAGGAAGTCCATCACTCTCCCAGGTCCACCTGATGAGGGGACCACAGGAAGTCCATCACTCTCCCAGGTCCACCTGATGAGGGGACCACAGGAAGTCCATCACTCTCCCAGGTCCACCTGATGAGGGGACCACAGGAAGTCCATCACTCTCCCAGGCCCACCTGACGAGGGGACCACAGGAAGTCCATCACTCTCCCAGGCCCACCTGATGAGATACCCACAGGAAGTCCATCACTCTCCCAGGTCCACCTGACGAGAGACCCACAGGAAGTCCATCACCCTCCCAGGCCCACCTGATGAGGGGCCCACAGGAAGTTCATCACCTTCCTGAGTCCACCTGATAAGGGGCCCACGGGAAGCCCATCACCTTCCCAGGTGCTCTTAGCCTGTCGGCGTAGTCTTCATGCCTTACCCAAGGCCTTTCTCCAGAGCCGCTCTCATGAACAACACAACCCTAATTGCAGCTAACATGAAAGGCTAAGTCACCAAGGCTGTGTGGTGACTGCACACTCACGCCAACAGTGTGACAACAAGATTCATCTCATGTCTGTAATCACAGCACTTTGGGAGGCCGAGGCAGGAGGATTGCTTGAGGCCAGGAGTTTGTGACCAGCCTAGGCAACTTAATGAGTCCTCATCTCTATTTTAAAATAAATAATTTGTTTTAAAAAGCTCCATCTTATCTGTTGGTGTGGCCAGCCCTTACACTACCAAAAGAACTCCAGGGGCCCTGCCTGACTTGACTTCAATTCCTAATTTTTTCCTGGTGCACAAAATCGGATGAAAGGTAAAAATCTCCCTCCTGAATTAACGGTGTGAGAAACAATTTAAAAACAATGATTTCATGGCTTTCATGATCTATAAGTTGCCTTAGAAGTGTTTTAAGAAGCACAGGAGCTTTCCCCAACGTAGCAAACAGCAGACTCTGAGACCACTGGAGGCCTCCCCTGTTGAAGACCAGCGCCTCAGAAGACATGGCTTCTCTTTTCTAGATAACTGGGTCAAGAATTTGGTTAGGTTAAAGCAAAACAAGAACCAAAACCAAAAAGGAACAAACCTTCTCAATTATCTTAGTCAGTTCAGGCTGCTATAAAAAGAACCGCTGACTGGGTGACCTATAAAAAACAGACGTGTCTCTCCTCTGAGTTCTGCAGGCTGGCAGTTCTGAGACCCAGGTGCCCGCACCATCAGGTTCTGCTGCAAGCTGGCTTCCTGGTTGCAGATGGGCAGGCTTCCCGCTGTGTCCTCAGGTGGAGGAGAGAGATCCTCTCTCCCACGTCTCTTTCATGAGGGCACTAATCCCATTCGTTGGGGCTCCACTCTCATGACCTCATCACCTTCCAAAGTTCCCACCTCCTAACACCATCTTCACGTGGGTGAGGATTTCAACACGGGAATCTGGGGGAGACATCAACACTCAGTTCCTACCACCAGGAAAGCGTGCACAAATGTGACAGAGTGCTGGGGGCCCTGAGACGTCACGCCTCTTCCATTGGCTTCTGGGGCCACCAGGACAGGAGGACTTCCCCCAGCTTTGCGCAGCCTGCGCACTGGGAACAAGTGGTCAGAGCTCTGCACCACATTGTGGGGACCAGCTCTGGAGACAACATTCGTCTCTCTGATGGAAGTTGTCTCTGAGCTCATCCCCTTTCTTTTCCTGACATCCTACTGGCAAGCTGCCTGTGGGACCCACACACTGGTAACACTGCTTGGGTTTTAGATCCCTCCAAAGAGTTGGAACAAACACCACTGAGCAAAAGAGCTGGACACAAAAGGGCACACACTGTCCGCTGCCAGTGTATGAAGTCCAAGGACAGGCAGAGCCAGCCTTGCTGCTGGGAGCAGGACAGCAGCCACCCGGGGTAGGGGCGGGGAGAGGGTCTGGGGTGCCGCCGGGGCACGGCTTCCCAGTAGGCTCCACTTATAAAACTTCAACTGGCTGAACACTCACAGCGTGCGCACTTTTCTGTAAGCGTAGTCGAGGAAAAGTTAGAGAGAGAGGAGACACCAGCGCAGCCAACCACTCTCCAGATGCCGAGCTTCCCGGAGACGCCAAGGCCGGTTTGTCTTCTGCGGGGGGTGGTTCCCTTCCCATCCTCTCATAAGCAATAGTGATGTTTCCGTTCTCCAGTCAGAAGGAGCCTGTCCTCGGACTTCACAAGGAGGAAGGAGTCCTCCCTTCTCGCTCCTCCAACTTCAGTCCCAGAAGGAGGCTGCGCAGCATAGTTCTCAGACTCCGGGAGGCAGTACAGACGCATGATGCAGGTTCAATGTCATTAGCCAGGGCAGGATCCCGGGCGGGCATCCTTGGTGCTGCTTGGAAAACAGCAAGAGCAGCCCGCACGCACTCCCTGCCCGGGTCTCACCACCCATCCTGGGGTTAGACCAGGCTCCACTGGTCTCATCTTCAAGGATCTCCACAAGCTTCATTGCAGGATTTTTTTCTAGAAAGGCCTGAAAGGTGAGGTGGAAACTGAGGCACAAGGGATCAGCCAGGTGTGGTGGTGCAGACCTGTAGTCCCAGTTACTTGGGAGGCTGAGGTGGGAGGATGTCTGCATGGAAGGTCAAGGCTACAGAGAGCTGAGATCGCACCACTGCACTCCAGCTTGGGCAACAGAGGTGGAGAGCAGTGGTGTGATCATGGCTCCCTGCATTGACTCCAACATAAATAAACAAAGAAACAAACAAACAAACAAATAAATAAATAAATAAAGCTCTGGCTCAGCAAAAGGAGTAGGTTTGAGAAATAGTTGGGGTGGGGAAGGGACTCTCCCCAAAGAGTCACCTTTTCTTTGGAAGAGGAGAAACGGTAGCTCTGGAAGGACCCCCTCTGCAGTCAGACTTGGGTTCAAATACACTCTTGAGGACACATCGAGTGCAGGAAAATGAAGGAGGGGGTGCAGGCTCGGGGCCAGCTCTGCACAGTGTCCAGGGTGGGTGGGACCCCACCACTGTGGGATCCAAGACATATTCCTGCAGCAGTTGATTTCCAGAACTCAGATGAAAACACCAGGTTAATTCCCAGAGCAAGCACCAGCCAGACTGAGTTTCACTCCTCATGAGGCCTAGTAAGTCTAAATATGTATAACTTCACCTAAAATTAAATCCAGCTTCAAAACAAGCCCACGCAGTTACATGAGGCAGACCTAGCAGTGGAACGGGAAGACTGGGTTCCTGCTTTCAAAACAAAACCAAAATCATGATCAAGGAGCGAGCATGGACCTCGGGGGGCTGACCCTCGAAAGACCCTCTTCGTTCTCTTACTGTCTGTTCCATGCACGTAATTTCCCCAGTGTAAGCCCTGAAGACCAAAACACCTCTGAAAGGCCTTGCTGGCATGTTGACGTCCTCATGTAGCTCCTTCTCCTCTCTCACATGTGGTCACATTTTCTTGCTTTTTTTGTTTGGTTGGTTTGTGTGTGTGTGTGTGTGTGTGTGTGTGTGTGTGTGTGTGTATGTTTTGACAGGGTCTCGCTCTGTTGCCCAGGCTACAGCGCAGTGGTGCTATCATAGCTCACCACAGCCTCAACCTCCTGGATTCAAGCTATCCTCCCACCTCAACCTCAAGAGTAGCTGGGACCACAGGTGTACCCCACCATGCCCCACTAATTTTTTTCACATTTTCTGAAAGCATTAAGTGACTTGAAGGAGACCCCCATCCATACGAATGCACTCCAAACCAGAGACCTGTGAGTTAGGCCTCAGAATCCTAAAATCTGGGGAGACCCTGGGGCCTTTCTGACTCCAGACTACCCCGACTGGTAAGAACCCTGTTGAGATGTGAAAACCAAGAACGAAGAAGTGACGAGGTTGCCTGACCTGTTTTTCTTTTGTTTTTTAGGCCTTAAAATAGTTAACAGTGTATGTTATTTGAGCCATACATTCTTGAAAACATTAAGTTTCTCCATTTACGTGATGTATTTGCAATAACAAGTCCAGGACTGGAGATGAGATGATAATAGGTTCAAGAGTTCACGTCAAATTCCAACCCTTTCTAGTGCTTTGTTTTGTGGGTACATCCTGTCCCCTCCCTGGGCCTCCCTGTCTCTTTCTCTATAAACTCAAAGGAGGGGAATGGGGGTCACTAAGGTCCTTCTGGTTCTGCGAGCGTCTCATTTATTCTTCCTGGGTTGGTCCAATTCCAGCTTCAGGTGACCCTCAGCAACGTGTCTTCTTGCATTGAAAAGCCAGGCTCCTGGAACCTCACTACCACCACTGACTCAGTGGGTCTCACTGCTGTGAACTTGGGGTCCGCCAAACCACATGCCCCCGAGGGGCCACTGTGTGCCCCACCCCATGGTCACACAACGGGCATGGGAGCCTCCCAAAATACAGCCACCCCCACCATCCACTCCAGCAGCTCACCCGGTGCCACAGGGCCCGGGCAGCCGTGAAGAGAGGATGTCGTTGCAATTGGAACCACAGCACCTTTTCTTCCCCGGACGGATTCTACAAGTTTTCCAACATACGAAGGGCTGTTGGGCTGGACATGGAGTGAAGCGAGGTGCCGCCTGCCATTTCCTGCCCCAGGAAAGCAGAGAAGGAGAGGCCACGTGTCCTCGCCACTGGGCAGGAAGGGTCTTTCCTGACTCCCAGCCATAAAGAAACCAAAATCCCCGGGACTTTTCGGTCCTGAGGAAAGTCAATTTTGTCCTCAAGGGTGAGGCTGGTATCTAGAAGCTTCTTACGTGGTTTCCTGTGAACGCATCTCTGCTTCTTCCGTGAGGAAACTGAGGCACGCAGGTGTCCACGTACTCTCTGGCCATATCAATCTGGGGCTGATGCATACACAAAAGGGGACTTTCAGAAAGGCAGCAGGCACCCAGGGAGACAGAGCTGTGCACCACAAGGAAACCCACTCCATCCTGAAGGGCAGGCACAAGATGCCATCGACCGGGGCACCCCAGGACGCGGTGGGGGCCCCACGCCTGCACCCCCTCCTTTGTTTTGTGTACACTTGACGTGTCCTCAAAAGCATGTTTGGACTCAAGTCTGACTCCAGAGGGGGTCCTTCCAGAGCCACCGTTTCTCCTTTTTCAAAGAAAAGGTGTCTCTTTCAGGAAAGCTCCTTCCCCACCCCAACTATTTCTCAAACCCACTCCTTTTTCTGGGCCAGAACTTTATTTATTTTATTTTATTTTATTTTATTTTATTTTATTTTGGCGACAGAGTCAATGCAGAGAGCCATGATCGCATAAATTGAGAGCTCTGTTGCCCAAGCCGGAGTGCAGTGGTGTGTTCCCAGTTCTCTGTAGCCTCGACCTCCTTGGCTCAAGCAATCCTGCCACCTCAGCCTCCCAAGTAGCTGGGACTATAAGCATGCACTATCACACCCAGCTAAATTTTTATTTTTTGTAGAATCATGGTCTCACTGTGTTGCACAGGCTGGTCTCGAACTCCTAGGCTCAAGCAATCCGTCGACCTTGGCCCCCCAAAGTGCTAGAATTACAGACATGAGCCTGCGCTCAGCCCTGGGCCAGTACTTTCACGCCCGGCTAACAGCCTGTGGGGCCGGGCAGGAGCTGGGGTGTGTGCACCCCACACGTACAAAGTCTCCACCTACCCCTCCGTCTGGCCATCCCTTAACGCTGCTCCCTGTGATGTGGTTTCTCCATTTTACGTTGTGGTGATGCGGGGCCCCCCCGCCGACCCACAGTCACTCAGCAATGGCCTGTGGGGTGGGTGCTGACACCCCTGAGGCTCCAGGAGGGCACCCCGGGACCTGCAGTGACTTCTCTTATTGTAGATGTGGTTTCAAGGATGGACGAAAAACCTAAATGAATCCTTTCAGAGGGAACTTGGGGCTTTGTTCTATGTTTAGGGGAAGGTTCACTCTCAAACCCCGGCCGGCTGTGAGGGCAGATGTCTCTCTCCTTTTGCCTGTGAACAAGGACGCACGTGGTCCAGGAGGTGCTGGCAGCCACTTTATCACCATGAGGGAAGCAGGCTGAGAACTAACCTGACCCGCAGGGAGCATCACAGATAACTCGACCTGCAGCCTCATAGGATCAAGAGCTTTGGAGAAAATCAACCCAGGTGACTGCCCCTCCTTGGTGTGTTTTAGCTGTGGGAGCTGACGAAGCCCCTGTGGACAGTAGTTGGATGTGGATGTTCTGTAGCTGGACTGTGAAGCACTCTAATAAAATCACCTTTGGAAACTTTCACTCTTTTCATGGCTTTATGATGATGCAGGAAGTAAAGATGGGGTGCTTTCTATAAAAGTAACCCCTCCTTTCCAACCAGATTGCCACACCAAGTCCTTCCACACAGACATTCCAGGGCCACTGGACAGGAGTCCCCCAAAGGCCCATCAGAACAACCCAGCGTGTCCCCACAACATCCTGAGACCTTCCGTGCTCGTTATAGATTCTCAGGCAGAAGGAGCAACGTGGTGAAGGAGATATTCCAGGAAGACTGCCTGGCCGCACTCACTATGCAGAAGCCATTGAGAATCAGAGCCATCGGCCGGGAGGCAGGAACAGTGAGTGATCGGCTGAGGAAGGCCCCACGGAGGCCAACGAAGAGGAAGGCATCCTAGAGACACTTCAAGGAGGAAGGGCTGGCAGCATTAGGACAAAGGGGACATGTGAATCACGGGCACAGAAGAGAGTGAAACCGAAAGGCCACGCATGCCAGGAAGATGAAGCTGGCTTCAATGAACCACCATGCCCACCAGGTCAAAATTCAGAAAGGTCTATTTTGGTCTTAGATCATTTGCAGTTTTGTTAGGTTTGTTTTGCTTGATAGGGTGGGCAGGGAGGGGGAGGTTGCATTCGAGTCGTAAGTGGGAAGATTTATGGGAATGAGAGCCTGAGAAATTCCTTCTCTGCTCAAGGCAGAAGCAGGAGAGGAGACAGAATTCGCATGCTTCACTCTCAAACCCCGGCCAGCCGTGAGGACAGATGTCACCAGGGCCTGCTACTGGCAATACCACTTGGCTCCTTAAATGGTAAATTCTGCTAAGAAGGTCCCCCTTTTCCAGGAGATATTTTAAAATAAATGCAGTGGACATTTCCCCTCAAAATGAGATGCATTCTGTCAAGCCGCTGACATTTATTAGGAAACTAGAGACAAAAAGTATCACAATGAAATGACACCATTTGACAGAGGAGGAAACTGAGCCCCAGAAAGTCCAGTGGCAGAGCTGGACCTTGACTCGGCTCTCCTGGGTCCCCCACAAGGGCCAAGGTGACCAGCTGCCCCTGCCATCCCAGTGCCATTATCACGTACACCACCCATCCCATCACTCTGGAAAAGGCCTGATCTGGACAACGAATGACTTGTCCATTCTGACTTTAACCCACTACCTCCAGGACTTAAGAAACCAGGAAAGCAAAGAATGGAAAACCAGCAAGTCCTCTTCTTTTGGGGCTTTGTTCTATGTCTGGGGGATGTGGAGCCATCTCCCTCCTTATCTAGGAGGATGCATGTGGCCTGGAAGGTGCTGGCAGTCACTTTATCACCATGAGGGAAGCAGTTTGAGGACTCACCGGACCCACAGGGAGAATCACAGGTAACTTCACCTGCATCCTCCTAAGACTGAGAACTTTGGAGAAAGTCAGTTTACACACTTGCCTTCCCTCAGGAGTCAGTTCTGAGAGCTGCCAAGAAGAGGGCAGGATCGGGGTGAAAAATGACTCGGGTGTCAGACCCAGAACGTTCCACTGGCTGCCTCCAGGGCTCAGTGGGGGGCTGGGAAGACTTCCCCATCTTCCAAGCGTGTGGAGTGTGCTGTGGGTCACTCAGAACCTCCCTCTCCTCTTCTGTGGTCAGCAGATCTCGTCCAGCGCCTCTCCACTGGTGGCTCACTCAGCACCCTCCCCCACCCAGAAACTGCTGGGCTCACCTACTGAGCTATGTGATCCCTAAGGAGCTGTCAGGGCTGTACAAGCCTCACAGTTCCTTACTCATGAAGCACTGGCAAGCGCAAGCCCCAGGGCGTGGCTGTCAGCACTCTGCACCGTCCCGGAGCTATGGGGGAGCACGCGGCCCCCGGTCAGGAGCTCCACGCACAGCCTGATTTTGCAGCTCAGGACTCCAAAGCCAAGAAGAAGACAGTGAAGACAGCCCAAGAAGGCTTTTCAGTGCAGTTAATATCCAACATTTATGAGGCACCCACTCACCAGGGACACTGAGTCACATCTGAGCCTCAGTTTTTCTTCTGGGAAGACATGCACACTGCCCGACTCTTATCATTCACCTTTGGACAGGCAGAGGAGGGAAGGCGGCAAGGCAGGTGCTTCTTTCTAAAAAAAAAAAAGAAGAAGAAGAAGAAAGAAAAGAAAAAAGGATAGAAAGAGAGAAATAAGGAGGGAAGGAAGGGAAGGGAAGAAAGGAGAAGAAGGAAAGAAAGAAGGAAAGAAGGAAGAAAGGAGAAGAAGGAAAGAAAGAAGGAAAGAAGGAAGGAAGGGAAAGAAAGAGAGAAAGAGAGAAAGAGAGAAAGAAAGAAAGAAAGAAAGGAAGGAAGAGAAAGAAAGAAAGGCAGGCCCAGGAAGAGAGAAAACCAATGAGTCCACTCTAAACGGTGAATCAGAATCAGTGGCATAGCCAGGGACAAAGTCCAACTTGCCTCTGCCCGATCTCTATCATCTGCTGCCATCTCCGGAGGCCACACGACCTGGCCTTCCCCTGCCCACTCCTCCTTCTCTGATGACAGGCGGTATGAATGGCTACTTACCACTCTGATAGCCTCTCGGCAGCAGACTGTACCCTGGGTTTGCAGGTAGAGCCTGAGTTACGACTCTTGAATTCGTACACATCACGACACTGTCACCACACTCTCTTTTGACCTAAAGAAACCCTGCACTGGATAACCTCCAAGAAGCAATCTGCCTCTGATGCTTCTAGGTTAGGCAGCAGGGCTGGGAGAATGGTAATATAAACCCCTTCTCTCTACTGGGGCCTTTTGGTTTCAGTCCTTGGAAACATTATTTGTAAAAGAACTCAAAATGCACTCGTGTTGGGGAAATGCTCAGGTTCAGGAGACCCCCCCGATGGGGCATGGAGAGAAGCCAAGGTCCTGGGGTGGGCACCACCTGCCTTTCTTCTTTCTGCACCCCAGCACCCAGCCCAGGCCTGACCCACAGCAGGGAGCGCCGGCTGGATGCTTCCTAAGTGAGCGGTTACTCTGTAAATGGATACAAGCCATGTGCTGGCCAAACAGATTCACTGGGGCCTCTAGGTGCTTAGGCTTGGTTCATGGTCTCGAAGGCATCCATTGACTGTAATATTTGTAGACTTACTTTTTTTCTTTTTTTTTTTTTTTTTGTTGAGAAGGAGCTTCTCTCTGTCACCAGGCTGGAGTGCAGTGGCATGATCTTGGCTCACTGTAACCTCTGCCTCCCAGGTTCAAGCAATTCTCCTGCCTCAGCCTCCCAAGTAGCTGGGATTACAGGTGTGCACCACCGCGTCCAACTAATTTTTGTATTTTTAGTAGAGACGGGGTTTCACCGTGTTGACCAGGCTGGTCTCAATCTCTTGACCTCATGATCCGCCCACCTCAGCCTCCCAAAGTACTGGGATTACAGGCGTGAGCCGCCACGCTCAGCCTACATATTCTTTATATCCGATCTCCAGTGCAGGGGCTGCCAGGTGACCAGAGTTTTTACTCTTGGTCACTTTAGCACAAAAATAGAGAAAAGTGGCCTCAGTGAACCTCATCTGTACCTCATTTCACCCTTGCAGACGTTCCCGGGCTCTGCAGGACCAGTGAGCGAGAGGAACCACGTACATACCTGGCAACAGCAGTCTGGGGTTGGTGTGCCCGTCTGTAATGGCTGCACGTGGTACATGTGATTCTATGAGTGCGTGTCTAATGCGAGTTTCAGGAAGGCGACAGCTGTGCCATGAAGAATGGATGACTCACCTCTCCGTGCCAGTCTCGCCAGCATGCAGGCCTGTGTGATGCTGTCCAGAGCCCAGGGCTCAGCATGAATGAGGAATGCACGTACGTGAAGGTGGCTCCCCATGCCAGCCCTTCCCCACCCCAGCCTCTACTGACTTCCAACCATTGAGAAAAGAAACCTGTTGTCTCTGGCTAATTCCCTCTCCCCTCTCTCTTGACCTTCTTAAGCAAACCTTCAGGAAAGGCTGTGGAAGGAGACCTGTGAGGTTTGCAGATGGCATCGGAAGGCTGAGAGACAAGTGTCCTCCAGCCTCACCAGCCGGATAACCTGTGCCCTTCCCATCTCCGCTTCCCCCCCACTCCGCAGGCTCCCTGCAGGCAACCTCTCTGTCTCCCTCCCTCATCCCCCACTGTGATTTCCTGCCCCTTATTCATCATTCACTGGACACTTTGAGCACCCATCTTGTCTAGATTTTAAGGCACTGAGGATGCAAAAGGAGAGTCAGGCATTGTCCCTGCCCTCGAGGTGAAAGCTGGGGCTCAGCTGGGAGAAAAGAACTGCCTTCAAGTGACATCAAAAGTTGCAGGGGTGGCCAGGCATGGCGGTTCACGCCTGTAAGTCCCAGCACCTTGGGAGGCCAAGGTGGGAGGATTGCTTGAGCCCAAGAATTCCAACCTGGACAACATGGCAAAACCTTGTCTTTACAGAAAAATACAAAACAAAACCAAAAAGCCAGGCACGGTGGCACACACCTGTAGTGTCAGCTACTTGGGAAGCTCAGGTGGGAGGATCACCTGAGCCCAGGAGATCAGGGCTGCAGTGAGCCGAGATCACACCACTGCACTCCAGCCTAGGCTACAGAGTGAGACCCTATCTCAAGAAAAAAAAAAAAAAGAAAGAAAGAAAGCTGCAGGGGAGGGGATGGGGAAGCTGTGTAGAAATTGAGTCCCTGTCCACTTCTTTTGCCTGTGAGCAGTCTGAAGAGTTGGCCGATTGAAGGAAATCTTTACTGCTTTGGGTCTTACTTGGAAACCCAAAGGCTTAGCTGAGTATGAGGCTGCAGCAGTCCCGGTTCTGCTATCTTAAAAGTATATCTGTGGGGCAGGCACGGTGGCTCACACCTGTAATCCCAGCATTTTGGGAGGCCGACATGGGTGGATCACCTGAGGTCAGAAGCTCGAGACCAGCCTGGACAACATGGTGAAACCCCATCTCTACTAAAAACACAAAAATTAGCCCGGCATGGTGGTGTGTGCCTGTAGTCCCAGCTACTTGGGAGGCTGAGGCAGGAGAATTGCTTGAACCCAGGAGGCAGAGGTTGCAGTGAGCTGATATTGTGCCACTACACTCCAGCCTGGACAGAGCAAGACTCTGTCTCAGGAAAACAACAACAACAACAACAAAACGTATGTTTGTGACTCCATTTCATGACCCAGGCCTACCCTACCCTCCACCTGGAAAAGGTCCTCAGCACTAGGCCCCGTGCGAGACGGACTCCGAAGTCCCCTCCAGTTCTCTGCTATACTCACCTTCTCCTCCCTGCAAGCAAACAGAGGAAAGATACACGTTCCCGAGGGCGGGCAGAGGTCTCCAGTCCGCACCGCGACCACAGGGTTTCCTCCTCCACAGCCCTACTCCAGCGAACCCCAGGCTCTGTGTCGCATCAAAGGCTGGGGGTGAGAGAAGTGCTGCCCTGCCCCCCCAGTCTAAGCACCTGGATGGAGGACTGGGAGCCAGAGGAGGACGCAGGTCCCAGGTCCTGTCTGTGCCAGGGGCACAAGGCACTCCTTCCCCTAGGCAGGAAGCATTTGGTCCCCTAGGCAGCTCTTTCTTCCAGAAGCCTTACTTATCACAGGCAAATTCATCCACCCTGAAGCTGCACGTCATAGTGGGGGCAGGGAGGAGATTTATATGGCCTTCTAGCTGAAGCTCGGGACCACTGTGTGGAAGGTTTTTCAGGAAATCGAGGACTGCCAGGAACCAGGAACCTGGTTGTGTTTAGCTGTGCACACTGGCCTTGACAGTCATGGAACATTCCAGAAATGCACCACCCTGATCCACCCTGGGGCCAGTATTTTGGTTAGGTGTGTTTGGCACCATCTCATCAGTAACCCCGTGGTTTCCAAATGCCTCCTCCCTGCCCCTGTTCCACTAGGGCCCTTTGCCTGGGGCCAAAGCAAACACTGGGAACTGGAACAGAGGAGGACTTTCCCAAGGGAGCGGCCACCACCTGCATTTTAGCTGTTCACCCCAGCTGAGCTAAGGGCAACCTCCAGCTCCTGGCTGCTAAGATTCCTCCAGTGTCCTCAGATTGTCAGCCTGGGACATGCCAATGTGTTTCATCTGTCTCAAACCACAGAGCACCGTGATGAACAGAGGCATGGAGAAACCAGTGTCTTTCCCCCACCATCCCAAATGTGGGTCTGTCTCTCCTCCCACCAGCCTGGAAAACAAGGGAAAATGATTAACAGACACGCTAACTGGGGCGTGGCTGAGCCTGCGGGGATCAAGGATGGGCTTTGGTTTCCTTGGGTAAGAACGCTGCTTTCACTGTGTCCGTGAAGGATAAAGGGCTGGGATCTCACAGATCGCAGATTTCATAACCAAAACTGGGGTTCATTGCATGCTTTCCTGTAGTAACCAAACTCAAGCTATAGAATCTTAACTAAGTTAACACATACATCCCATCTTTACCAAGATGGGGAAGGGACCCGAATTAGCAATTCATTTCCATTCTTCTTGGTCGTGGTGTTTTAGCTTTCTTTCTTTCTTTCTTTTTCTTTCTTTCGTTCGTTCATTTCATTTTGGTTTTTTTGTTTGTTTGTTTGTTTGTTTGACGGAGTCTCGCTCTGTCACCCAGGCTGGAGTGCAGTGGTGCGATCTTGGCTCACTGCAACCTCTGCCTCCCACTTCAAGCAATTCTCCTGCCTCAGTCTCCCGAGTAGCTGGGATTGCAGGTGCCTGCCACCAAGCCCTGCTAATTTTTGCATTTTTAGTGGAGATGGGGTTTCACCATGTTGGTCAGGCTGGTCTCGAACTCCTGGCCTCAGGCAATCCATCCGCCTTGGCCTCCCAAAGTGCTGGGATTACAGGCATGAGCCACCATGCCTGGCCCGCCCTCCCTCCCTCCCTTCCTTCCTTCCTTCCTCTTTCTTTCTCTCTCTCTCTTTCTTTCTTTCTTTGTTAGCCCAAATGTCTATTTTGTTTTCCAAAGTGTTCAGATAGAGTAAGTTACTAAACCATTTGGTCACTTTTCCTGGTGTCATTCAATGACCACAGTCAGCAGGTTAAAGCGAGGCTCTAACTTAAATACAGAGGCTACTTTAATAGGCCTGTTTTTCTCAGAAACATGAACATCTTCACTAAAAAGCCGTAGTTAGGTTCCTGTACACGTCATGTTGTATTGAGGACATCTAAGCCTAGCCCAAAACTTTAGGAAGAGGCAGCTCCCAGGGAGGGTGCTGGAAAGCATCCAGGGAAAGCGCAGCATGAGCGCAGCAGGCACCCACAGAACCAGCATCGGAGCGCAGCTCAGTGAATGGCAATTTATTCCACGGTGACTGCAGGCCAGTCCCGTGCTGAGCAAGTTTATATTTTATTTCATTACCCCAACAGCCTCTGAAATTTTTTTATCTCCATATCCAAACCCATGCAGTCAGAGGCTGTGACTTTTACAAGGCCACACTGAGAGGCCCAGCCCCGTCCAGCCTGGCCTCTGTAGTGTCCAGGCTTGGACTCTTAACCACTGGGGTCCTGGGTTTGGCATCTGACTCCCGGGCTCAGGGACTGGTGATAAGCTTCTTTTCTTCCAGGGCTTCAGCCTCCTTGTTCTGCAGTGGGTATCATTGCCAGCCATTTACCCAGGGAATGTCCATGGCCCGTGCCTGGCACCGCACTTGGGTAGCCAATGGGCCACGCTATGAGCAGACTCCGGGTTGTTACGGAGATTAAGTGAGCTGACATCTAGGGGTCACTCAGCACAGTGCCTGCCCATAGCTGGTACCCTGGATGGGAGCTAGCACGGCAGCTCCACACAGCCTTCTGGGACCCGTAGACTCTCTTCTTCTGCACCAACTCCAGGACCTCATTTAGCCCCTATCATAAGCATAACTCTGTCCCCTGCTCGCTAAGGTCCAGCTCTGATGCACCTTGTATCAATGGTCAGTGTCTGGCAAAGGGTTTGTGGCATAAAAGAGGCTCCAATACTTGGGTGGTTAGCTCCCCAAGTGCCGTCCCCACTGAGTGCCGCCCACCCCCCGCCCTGTGCCGTCCACCCCCGCCCCGGGTGCCATCCACCCATCTAACGGTGCTCCCTATCTTCCAAGGCAAATTGAGACACCCCTT